AGTTCTCGTAGATTTCCTTCAAGTGTACAGAATGACCTACAGGTATGGAAACGTAAAAACCACTGTTGTGGAGTAAAACTGCTTTGAGACTTCTTTTTGAAGAATCTATAAAAAGACGCCATTGCTCTAAATCATATTGGATTTTAAATTGACCCATCAGACCTTCAACATCGATGCAATAAACCAACTCGTCTTCCTGGGCGAGGTAAGAAACAAACTCCTTTCACAATCTCTGAACCATGAAGATGACACTCCTGGCAACAATACATTCCTGCTTTTCAGCCTTGATCCGAGTAACTCGGCGGCATCTTTTTGGAAGATTCAAGTCTCTTACCAAATCATTCATCTCCTCCTGAGAAAACAATTTTGGTCTTGTATCATCTTCAAAGTCAGAACTTGATTCGTCATCTGGTTCAGGTATGACTTCACCTTCATCTGAGCTAGGTATCTCTTCCAAGGTAGCAGGGGGCTTGGGTACTGGTATATCTGTGCCATGGGGGATGGGACAAATTGCTGAGTCAAGATTGGGGTATGAAATGGAATGCTTCCATTTGGAATTAAACCCTTTCACATTGCATGAACAAAAGTAACAGTCGTCACTATGTTTCTTTTGCTCTCGCCATACCATAGGAATCCCATAACGGAAAGATTTTTTCTTACCCTTGAACCAGTTCGGAGGTCCTCAACACACCGTTTGCACACTTGATGAGGCGCCCAAACTTTATCTTGATCTCTAATTTTTAGTCCAAAGTATGCTAAGTATACTTTTTTCACAAAGTCTGTAATCTGCTGTTGCTTCAACACTGTATATTCACCACAGATGAAACCGCAATTGTCTGGCGAATTAATACACTTTCGCGGAGCCATAACATAACGGTTGAAGATTGACGAGTTAACACAAACTGCATTGAAAAAGTGTGAAGAGCCTAGAACCAAGAACCTGCTGATGATTCGTGCACAAGTGTGGACTGCAGGAGAGAGCAGCTCTGTGTCTGTACACAAGACGTCACAGTGCTGGCCAAGCCCCCCTGCACCGACCGGAGCTGCTGCTATTTGCCCTGTGTCTCCCTCCCACTGGATTCTTCAGGAAAGATTAACCCCTTCTACCATTAGAAGCACAGACTCAGGGCTGAGGCTTACACACACAGCATGCTTCTGAGTATCCCAGTAGTCAGACATGTCACTCAGAGCAGCACTTGTATTCAACCTCTTTGCAGGGGGGAGGGGCAGAGATTGTTTACCTGCAAATAACAACAAAGGGCCAGAAGAGAACTAGGGAAATGAGGAAATAGAATTTTTTTCCCTAAAACTTGCTTTTAGCTTATGTATATATTGCTGACCATCAGATTTACAGTGCTATATTTTTTTTTTACATAACTCGGACAACCCCTTTAAGGTTTTTTGGGCATTTTATATCTTAAATGCACTTATGTGAATTAATTAATAGTAATTTGGACTTTAAATTTGGTTAAAAACCCATATTATAAAAAAAATACCAAAAATTAAAAAAATTTGATAAATTTGAAGACAATTTAGCATTTTGTGGCAAATCATGACGTCTAGGAGTTTTTTCAATATTTTATTTGTTTTCAGCACACCAAAATACATGGAAATTAGATGAAAATAATCAAACAACTTTTTAGTCGCAGACCTGTGTAATTGGCCAGTGTTTACCAAAAAATCTGTTCGACTTCTTTATATTGCCAGTTGAAGTCCGAAATAAATGCAAATTCAAACCCCTTGTCTAACTTTTAATTCAACCGTTTTTCTTTCTTCGCCCCCCCCACATAATTCTGACTTCATACCTAATTTTTTCTAGTTTGGTGGGATCATAACCTTTGTCAATAAATCTCTTCTTGATCATTTCTGATTGTGCAATGTAGTCTTCTAACTTAGAGCAATTCCTCATGATTCTACTAAACTGCCCTCTCGGGATTCCCTCCAGCCACATGGGATGATGATAGATGAGCTTTGCAATATATCCATTATGGTCCGTAGACTTAAAATGAGTTTTGGTATACAAAACTCCCTCATAACAAAAAAATGTGTGAATCCAAGAAATCGACCGAGAGAGTATCGATATTCTTAGAAAACTCCAACCCATAATCATTACTGTCTGAGAGGGCAAAGAACTCAAAGAGCGAGTCCATGCTGCCCTCCCATATGACCAGGATATCATCAATGAACCTCCTCTATAACTTCAATCCCTCCCATTTGTGACTAAAAATAACTTCTTGCTCCCATTTGGACATGAAGATATTCGCCAAACTGGGGGCAAACTTTGCTCCCATTGCAACGCCCTTCGTCTGGTCAAAAAATTCCCTTCCATACCAAAGTTACATCAATGGTAGCTAGGACTAAATGATCACTCACTTTCAAATTCTCCGCCAAGTCAATGACATGTTGACTATCCATCAGATAAGATGGCATTTGGATAACAATAGGCTGTAGAAAATTATCAACATATTCTCCAACTCTAGCAAGTATAGAATCATCTCCATCAACAATTGAACTACCTGGGGGATTTGTTAAACTTTTATGGATCTTGGGTAAATGATAAAACGTGGGGATCCTACAGCTAGATGGTATGAGATACTTAGCTTCTTTATTATCAACTATTCCACTTTTTTTAGCTTCTTTCATTAAAAAATTCAATTCCTTCTTAAACTCTTTAGCTGGATTCCTATTTAATTTCTCATATGTGGTTGTGTCTTCCAAAATCCTGTTCATTTCTGTTACATAATCCTGGCTTTCCAATATCACTACTCCACCCCCTTTATCGTCTGAGCATATAATTATATGTTTCTTCTTTTTTAAACTTCCGAATCTTGTAGTGATGGTAGTGGAATCTGTATAGCTTTTAATCTTTAATTCTCTTAACTCCAAATCTACCATCTGTTTGAATATTTCTACATTATGACTAGCTGGAGGGTTAAAAGTCAAGTTATTTTTAAATCACTGTGTGTGAAATTACTAAAGGACACTATATTGTTGGCTTTAGTATTAAGTCCCGGAAGGGAGGTGAAATATCTTTTGGTGTTCAATTTCCTAGTATATTTATTATGATCAATGTAGGTGTTAAATTTGTTCACTCTAGCTTTGGGGGCAAATGTTAAACCTAAATCTAAAACTTCGGTCTCCTCCTTGGATAAAGAGACTGAACTCTGTATGTCCATGTTTGGGAACTTCCCTGAAATCTCCTTCCCCCTCCCTGTAATAATATGGATCCCTTAGGGATCTCTCTGGCCAATTGAAATAATTCCTCGGGGTTCCCGACTGATGACCATAATTGTACATGAGGGTCCTGGGTGGATAAGCTCGGTTGTGGGTGGGAGTCCTGACTTGACACCCCTGATTGTACAATGGGGTTCTTGAGGGATGACCTGAAGGCCTTCCATGCCAATTCCTCTAAAAAAAATAGTTGTTATTATTCCCCCTAGGTCTTGGACTATAATTGGATCCATATCCCTCCTCTTTCCAGTGGATTAAGGGATGAAATCTATTCTGAATTGGAACATTATATCCATAATGACCACTGCGTCTATGTGGAGAAGGGGCATCCCTATGGGATGTCCAACCTTGTTGTACATTCTGTCCTCTTCGTGGTGGGTGATCTGACTGGGGATGACTCTACTGAATTGCCCTGTCCCCCCACTAACTCCTGCTATTTATAACCTTTGTTGGCTTGGTAATCTCCTACAGTGGGGCAAAAAAGTATTTAGTCAGCCACCAATTGTGCAAGTTCTCCCACCTAAAAAGATGAGAGAGGCCTGTAATTGGCATCATAGGTAGACCTCAACTATGAGAGACAAAATGAGAAAAACAATCCAGACAATCACATTGGCTGATTTGGAAAGAATTTATTTGCAAATTATGGTGAAAAATAAGTATTTGGTCACCTACAAACAAGCAAGATTTCTGGCTCTCGCAGTGCCAGAAGTGTCCCCCTGCTTAAGCCAGTACATGTCCAGGCCCATCTGAAGTTTGCTAGAGAGCATTTGGATGATCCAGAAGAGGATTGGGAGAATGTCATATGGTCAGATGAAACCAAAATAGAACTGTTTGGTAGAAACACAACTTGTCGTGTTTGGAGGAGAGAGAATGCTGAGTTGCATCCAAAGAACACCATACCTACTGTGAAGCATGGGGGTGGCAACATCATGCTTTGGGGCTGTTTCTCCGCAAAGGGACCAGGGACCACTGATCCATGTACAGGACAGAATGAATGGAGCCATGTATCGTGAGATTTTGAGTGCAAACCTCCTTCCATCAGCACGGGCATTGAAGATGAAACATGGCTGGGTCTTCCAACATGACAATGATCCCAAACATACCGCCAGGGCAACGAAGGAGTGGCTTCGTAAGAAGCATTTCAAGGTCCTGGAGTGGCCTAGCCAGTCTCCAGATCTCAACCCCATAGAAAACCTTTGGAGGCAGTTGAAAGTCCGTGTTGCCCAGCGACAGCCCCAAAACATCACTGCTCTAGAGGAGATCTGCATGGAGGAATGGGCCAACATACCAGCAACAGTGTGTGCCAACCTTGTGAAGACTTACAGGAAACGTTTGACCTCTGTCATTGCCAACAAAGGATATATAACAAAGTATTGAGATGAAATTTTGATATTGACCAAATACTTATTTTCCACCATAATTTGCAAATAAATTCTTTCCAAATCAGCCAATGTGATTGTCTGGATTGTTTTTCTCATTTTGTCTCTTATAGTTGAGGTCTACCTATGATGCCAATTACAGGCCTCTCTCATCTTTTTAAGTGGGAGAACTTGCACAATTGGTGGCTGACTAAATACTTTTTTGCCCCACTGTATATCCCTCACATATTTTTTATGTTTTTTCTTTTTCACCTCCTTGTCTTTCTGAGGTAGATTATCCAGTAACCGCTGCATATGTCTATTATATTCTCCATCATCCTTGAAAGGCTCTAACTTCTCTTTTAATTCCCATAGTTTATTTTCCACCTTAATAAACTTTCTTTTTTTTCTAGCTAGTAGCCTCCCTGGCGGTATTCCTGAGTGTAGCTCGGGGTAAAGTTTTAGTACCAGAAGCAGTAACCCCGAGCTACACTCGGGCTTACCATGCGGCTCTGCTCCGGGATCTGTTCTTCTCTTACCTTGTCCTGCGCTCCCGCCATGTCCCTCCTGCAGTGTCCCCTGTAATGTTCTCTGGCAGATGCCGGCATCTGTCTTCTGGGTTCCGTCCCCTGCGATGTCGGGATGTATGGGGACGGAACGGCGGGAAATTTGAAAATGACAAAAAGTGCCATTCACTAAATTCCCTAAAATAACATAGTAAAACATTACTGTATCAAACCATTTCACATACATTGTGTCCCTAGTGCTTTTTCCTGTGCTCTGCCTACATTTTTACTGTTCTTTCTGCCTGGAAACTGAGAAACGTCCATGGTGTCCGAAAAGCGTCCATTTAGGTCAAAATCAGTTTTAGACCAGCTAGAGAACAGCGCTAGTAAATTAGAACCACTTGCAGAATTGAGTGATAATGATTCATGGGGAAATTCGTCATCAGACACTGAAAACGATGTTGCGACTTTGCTCAGTGATGTGCGAACTTGGCGCTATATTTCAAATTTCAGTGTTTTTGGTTTGATTATATTATTGAATTAAATTTATTATTATATTATTTTTTATGATTATTTATTACATTATAATTTATGATTTCGTATATCAAATTTTAACATACCCGGGATGTTTACTAGACTCTTGTTCGGACAGATTTCAGTGAGTTATTCCTAAAAATGACAGGCCTACAATAAAAACAATACATATTTCAATACAAAAATATGTACCGCTTTGAGCACAGAAATATGGACATAATCAGACCACTAGGGAGGTTAATAATTCAATTAATTGTCTCTCACAACTGGCAAAAAATATTCTATACTCCTTAATCGACTCCTCATCTACTAAGCCATCATTTGGGGCCAGTTCCCACCTTAAACCTTTTGGCATGATATTGTCTTTCAAATACTTTTAAAATGTAACAATATTCCACTATAATTCTGTTTCTCCATGGCATACTCTGTTCTTTTAAATTGCGTATTGTGGCAGTAGTTGTGTAATACTGAACACTTCATCTAAATTGACCTTCCTATTATTCATGAAACTGAACACATTCATGAAAGTGCCACAAAATACAACATAAGCGAAAGTGCAGCTGACAGTCCAATACCCCCTTGGGTAAAACAGTCTTTATATACAAACAGGGCACCAGCTGTAGGATCTCCATGTTTTATTATTTACCCAAGATCCATAAAAGTTTAACAAATCCCCCAGGTAGGACAATTGTTGATGGAGTTGATTCTATCCATGCTAGAGTTAGAGAATATGTTGATCATTTTCTCCAGCCTATACAAATTCCATCTTATCTGAAGGATAGTCAACATGTCTTTGACTTGGCGGAGAATTTGAAAGTGAGTGATGATTTAGTCCTAGCTACCATTGATGTAACTTTGGTATGGAAGGGAATTTTTTTGCCCCGAAGAAGGGCATTGCAATGGGAGCAAGGTTTGCCCCCAGTTTAGCGAATATCTTCATGTCCAAATGGGAGCAAGAAGTTATTTTTAGTCACAAATGGGGGGGATTGAAGTTATTGAGGAGGTTCATTGATGATATCCTGGTCATATGGGAGGGCAGCATGGACTCGCTCTTTGAGTTCTTTGCCCTCATAGATAGTAATGAATATGGGTTGGAGTTTTCTAAGAATAAAAAACTCTCTCGGTCGATTTCTTGGATTTACACATTTTTTGCTGAGGGAGTTTTGTATACCAAAACCCGTTTTAAGTCTATGGACCGTAATGGATATATTCCGAAGTTCAGTTGTCATCATCCCCATGTGCCTGGAGGGATCCCGAGAGGGCAGTTTAGTAGAATCATAAGGAATTGCTCTAAGTTAGAAGACTACATTGCACAATCAAAAATTATCAAGAAGAGATTTATTGACAAAGGTTATGATCCCACCAAACTAAAAAAAATTGGGTATGAAGTAAGTCAGACATATGTAGGGGGGGGGGGGTGAAGAAAGAAAAATGGTTGAATAAAAAGTTAAACAAAGGGTTCAAATTTGCATTTATTTCAGACTTCAATTGGCAATATAAATTTTTGGTAAACACTGGCCCATTATTAGGAATGACAAGATCTTGGGACCTTTGGTCCCTACAAAACCTAGATTTGTATAAAGGAAATATTCCAATTTATGACAGAAGTTGGTAAGAAATATTGTTTCCCCTCCTAGGTTGGTTAAGAGTACCATGTTTGATTTGAAAGGTTTCTTTCCTTGTGTTAAATGTACCATATGTAAGATTACTAATGTTAGAAATCGAAAAATTGAAACTTTCAGGTCGAATGTGACACATAAGATATATACTAGTAGTGCACCGAAATGAAAATTCTAGTGCCGAAAACGAAAATTCAAAATGTACTTGGCCAAAAACTGAAATGCGCAGTTTTTAAAAATGAATATATATTTTTTTAGAAAAAAAATACACTTTGATTAAAAAAAACAATATATACCCCAATTGTTTTGTAAAATATGTAAGAGGATGATACAGCGAGTAAATAGATACCCAACATGTCATGCTTTAAAATTGTGCACGCTCGTGGAATGGCATGAAACTACAGTACTTAAAAATCTCCATGATGATGCTTTAAAAATGTCTACAAGTTAGCAGTGTAAAGTTACAGAGGAGGTCTAGTGCGAGAATTATTGCTCTTGCTCCGACGTTCGTGGTGATACCTCACATGTGTGGTTTGAATACCATTTACATATGTGGGCATGGCCTACATATGTGTTCACCACTATGTGCGAGCACGGGGGGACAGGAGCACTTTAAACTTTTTTTAAAAATGTATTTAATGTTTTTTGTTTTTTTTGCACTGTTCCTTTTAAAAAATTGTAGTCACTTTTATTCTTATCACAAGAAATGCATACATCCCTTGTCATAGAAATAATTAGTGACATGTCCTCTTTATGGAGAGATATGGAGTCAATAATGCAATGAAAAGCATTAGATAAAAAAAAAAAAAGCATTGATCTAGTGCTTTAAAAAAAAAATGGCCAGAACCGGAAGTGACAAACTCCCCCAAATGACCCCTTTTTGGAAAGTAGACAACACAAGGAATTTAAAAAGAGGCATGATGAGTATTTTGCAGATCTCATATTTTCTCACAAGCCTGCAGCTGCAGGCACCATCCTGATATAACCTGGTCCTTGTTGGGTGTTGTAACAAACATGTGACATGATGTAACGTACATGTGACGTAAATGTACAGATTTGAGTAGATTAGATGTAGATTCAGTCCTTGTCATTGAGGGAAATGAGGTACTTTGACACAGAGGCTCATCAATTAGCACCCGAAAGGCCTGGCTTCCTGGATGTTATGCCTACAGTGCTAATGAGGTTGTCACCTTCTGGGAAAACCAGTTTGGAGGAAATGACTGCAGACGGGTTGTCTGCCTGACATTGGAAGCTAAAAGTGTCTACATACATCAAAGGGGTATGTTTAATCTCTCATAAAAGCTAAAATATTAGTTGCAGAGAGATGAAGATACTCCCTTCTGTTTGGGCACGCTGTGCACCACACCGACACCTAAGAATCATATTTGTGGCTTAGGTAGAAGGCCAGGAAAATGCAGGAAATGGTTAGGTGGCGCTGGATCGCAACAGTCGAACAGTGTTTGGTACTGTCACGATCGGACTGATGCACTGGTGTCGGAAATCCAATTCCCAACTTGGTGTTTCAAGCCGGTATTAGTCCGATTGAACTTGGGCAGGTCAGCATCCAGAACATCCTGTGGGCAGGTACAGGAACACCCCCCCATGGTCAATTGGCCAAGGACTAATGTCCCGCCTACGTCCATATCCCCATAAATGGGGTACCCGGGCATTGGGACATTTGCGATTCGTATGGAGCTGGTTGATCAACCAACGGATTGCTGACTTTTCTGACTTGCTCCAGTCGCAGGGTAAATTCTGGTAAAGTTTTATTCTGTCTTTAATTCCCTTTTTATTTTATAGTGAATAGTCATTTGTGTGTCTTCTTGTATTTTTTGTATTTCTGTAACTTTTTATATTTTGTACATATTTTATGCACTGCCCACTTTCGGGAAATTAAATCTTAAAATTAATTAGTGACTTCTGTGTATTTAAGCACATGCTCATATCTCCGGAGAGATTAAATTGGAGAGATTAGATTGTATTAGATTGTATTGTATTTTAGTGCCATTAAACGCTCGGTCAAGCTCATTGCCAATCTGTATGCAATTGCACTGTGCAATTGCACTGTGTGTGTGGGCAGATTGTATGCAGATTGCAAAGGTAACAGATCTGCCAGATGGAGATCTGTGTGTGTGGTGTCTCAACAGACCATTCTGCGGTTAAAACTGTTGGGTGGTGGCAAGCTACCTTTTGTAGTGTGTCTGGTACTCCGCGTGTGTGGACAGTGGAAGAGTGATTTTTTTTTTTTTTTTAATTTAAATATTTATTAGTTTTTCATATTATTACAAAAAATTCCATAAGAAGAGACACAATACATATGATTAATCAATACATTTCTAGCTTGCCCCTTCTAATTACCTCTTTTCTTTCCCTCCCCTCCCAACACACTTCTACCCCCCTTCCCCCTCCCTCCCCTCTGCAAGATCTCCAATCTCTCAAGGCCCAAAAACTTTAAATAACTTCCTAGTTTAAAATTTTCTATATTTCTCTTTCAATCCTGATTTTTTCCCCATTTTTCACATCGCGAATAGTATATTTCCAACCTGTCTTCCTGCATATAGTAAGATTTTTCCATTCTACTAATCTGGTTTACCCTATTGATCCAGTCCTCCTCCATCAGCACCTCTGTCTTCCGCCAAAACTTGGGTATCAACCCTTTAGCAGCACTTAAGTAGTACCATACGCCTGATTCTTTATATTTATTTACTGTTGTCTCAACATTATGTAGGAGACACATGGTTGGGTCTAACCCTATATCATTTCCAGTTATCATTTCTATTAATTTAACTATTGTCTTCCAGAAAACCTGAATTTTTGGACATTGCCACCATATGTGAAACACCGTGCCCTCCTCCCCACATCCTCTCCAACACATTTTTGAATTCTCCCCACTCATCCTGTGTTCAGTGCTCGGTGTGATATGCCATTGTGTCAAACACTTATAATTAATCTCAACGTCTCTCATACTAACACTCTCGTGTACCAATCTAAATATCTTATTCTGTTGATCCTCATCTATCCCCACCTCCATATCTCTTTCCCAATTTTTTATAAAAAATTAACTTTGTGTCTGTGTCTAATTCTGTGAGTATTC